TTAAATAGAACATATCATAGATCGAATTATCGATTTGTTGACTTTTCCCATTCTCAGTTCTTGACTGCTACAAATCACTACATAGAGGTAAGTGAACATGGTGAATTTTGAATATGATGATCACCTAGGAGATTACTGATTGCCGTCATCGATATCCTTTAGTTCCATGCGTTCTAGGAAGCTGAACTTAGTAAGGGTAAGTAGTAGGGTGCTACTTCTCGTTACAATTGTCACATCGTTTTATGCATAACACGCGTAATATTTCTTCAAGTTCTTTAGAAGAGGATTTTATCGTGAGCGATAAATTTCGCAAAATCAAGATAGGGAGTCGTGTCTTAAATTTCCAATCGGGCGTGGCCGGCTATGCCACTCAATGCTGTACACAAGCGAAAATTTCCCGTAATCACAGTGCGTGGCTCAATCCTTTTCCCCTTTCACAACGAACAGATTTTGGTATTGCTGGTATCTATTACGATACACTATTTTCTTCCAATATATGATAGCTCAGTTCATGCTCAAAAAAGCGAGAAAGTGTAGCATTTACTTTGAAATCCAATAATACAAACATTTTCATATTTCCAAATGCCATTCGGTCTCTACACGATGAACTGGTGCTAAGATTACTCGAAAATTTAAAACATCCCTCAACTTTCCTATATTCTGATTATCTATTATATATCCTAATCTTAAACTTCTTTTTTTCCTAACAATGTAGATGATGACTCGTTGAGCAGCGCGGCTCTCAAATGGCAATTGAAAAAAGTGCTATCAAGGTGAAGAAAGGAGGATATGTTCCAGTCAACCATCGCAGATTAAATCGCAGTGAACTGCTCAAGTATTATGTGAGCAACAAAAACTACACAACCTCAAGCTAAGATTTATAGTTCGAAACCTCAATTAATCTATAATTACCATATCTATGTTTACAACATGCACGAAATAGCCTGCTACAAGGAACTTTACAATACTAAGCCTTGGGCACATTATCAAACTCGGCTTAACGTCTGTACCAGAGTTGAGCTTCACGCTTTCGCTTGATCTTCTTTTGTAGCTGGAGAACACCATAGAGGAGTGCCTAGAAAACAAAATGTTAAAATCCTATCAAGATTATAAAGCTATTTTAGTGGCAAGAGACGCTTTTAACGGCAACGTCTAGGCAGATTTTCAGTTTACTTTTTTATTCTTTGAGGATCTTTTTGCTGCACATAAAGCTGGTGGAAAATGACAAAAACGATGTTTTTGAAAGCCCCATTGGAGATTGGTAGGGACAGTGATGTGCTGCAGCTATTCTGCTTCTCTCATCAATCTTTCTTACTATAGAGTACTACTGGCAAGGAAGGTCAGACATCCCTCGTGCCT